CTAACTGTATCGTTATGACGTCATTATAGTATTACTCTCAATGCTAGTTATTAATCGTGCTAATCTTGCCTATTGGCTATCAAGGTCGCTACCGACCTGTCAATCCATACTCTATTCATAATCAAGTTCGCTCATTCACTCTGTCTCAATTTATGAAAGATTTAAGTTGAACTCTAGAATTTTGTCATGACATTATTTACAAACTTATCTATTATATAACAAGATGAATTGAGTCTTGTATTAATCTTCTATTCCTCAAGAAACCACATGGCGCAGCCAGCAGTTTCGATCTCCGAGGATCGGACTGACCAATTAGGTGTTCCCGTATTCTGGCACAAACCAACAGCGGATCCACCCAGCAGCTGGGATTCTTCGATAGGCCAATTCAACTTAGCAATCACCTTGAGAGAAAGGTGTGATCCACGTGAGTTATTGAAACCACAAGGTGTGGTACACGATGATCCTGTTCCAAAACCAGAAGCTGTGATCCTGTTCCAAAACCAGAATCGTATTGCACGAAACGATGCAACCGTGCGAAGAGTGGCAGAAATGAATGAAGAACGCCGGGCGAAGGGTCCCAGAGTAGCACCAGGTGTGTTCTACTATGAAGTTGAGCAACGAATTAAATCTCGTTTATTCTTTTCGCTTGGCTCAGAATGGAGGAAAAGGTTTCTCCAAAGTTACCCACATGCGGATCTTAGTGCAATATCATTTCAAGAATTTCACGAATTCTGTGTACTCCTTTTCAGAAAGGAGAAAAATTACATTATCGAACGATTGCAAATGTATAACGCCGTACATTCAGATCGAGAAGGTTTGGAAGCTTTTTATTTGCGACTGACGGGACAAGCCGCCCTGTGTGGGTGGTCGATTGATCAGGAAAAAGAAGTTGTAAGAGATATCTTCATTGCCAGGATGAGATATAAGGACATTCAGAGAGAATTGTGTATTCGCCCAGGAACCACTCCAGAAGAGACGCTGAAATCAGCGTTGCTGCAGGAAAAAGGGGCACAAACCGCCACTGATCTGCAAAAGCAACTTGGGAGTTCGGCTTCGATGGGCAGTTTTTCCCAGTCAGGATCCAATTCGGGTCAGAACACTCGCATAAAACAGGAACCTACATTTTCTGTCCAAGGGAAGAAATTGTCAGATAGAATCAATCGGGCTCAGAATAATAAGTCGAAGGGGGCCAACGAGAAAGCGAAACTATGTTATTTTTGTGGTAACAGTTTTTCAGCCAATCATAAGCAAAGTTGTCCAGCTAGAAATGTGACTTGTTAATTACTGGGGTTTAAACACAGGCATGATAAAAACCGTACATGGCCTTAAACATTGACTCCAAAGATTCAGAGGCATACTCGACGGCTTAACCGCCTTTTTGATGTTCTCTCGATTTATTTATAACAGTTAATGTTTGCTACTGATTATAAATACATGAAAACGAATTTATTCAAATTTTCCATAAGATACTTGGGCTATTTCTTCTTCCCCCACCTCACATAAGCATCGATTTCATGTGTAACGAGTGGTTTTACAAGGTTGAGTATGAAGACCACTATGTTTGTCATGGCCTAATTAGTCCGTATGCCAACTTTTATTACAATCTGACAATGTGAACAGAAAAATTAATACTTGCTTACCCGAGCCGATACTAGTATTGCTGAGCCGATACTTGCTTACTTGAACATTCCACAACGTTGACTCAAGTAATCACGTATTCAACTATTCGGAACTACTTAACAATGTCCTCCCCTATGATATCTACTAATAAATCTCCACCCCACGTAAACAAAAACCGTAAATTATCTCTAACGCCTTCTATTGAGACTTCTTATTTTGCTGCAGTCGTAAATTCGAATAAACGAATCTGCTAAAAACCCCCCCTTACTTGAAAAAGCGGGAAATTGCTAATGAGATCCAACAATTCGACAGATACTTCTTAAACTCGTGTCATGCGAAACGCCCATGAAATAATATTTGGATTGGATAGAACCCCCCACACATACGCCAAGCAGAGCTCTGCGCCACTTGCATTAGAAAAAAAAACCTAGCATGGCAGTTAGTTGAATGAAATAGACGAAAACAGCACTGGGAGTAAAAGAAAAATAGAAAAACGCTGAAAAAATTCACCCATTTTTTCACATGTTTGCCTCGAATGAAAATATGAATCCAGACACAATTGCCAGCGAGAAGTTTCCATTAGCACAAAATTTATCGATCGGTAACTAAGCAGACAAAACATGGGTAGATGTCCGGTATTATACCCAAAATAGGAATCTGGATTTATGAGTCATTTTTCATTGCGCTGGGTAATCGGCTTTTGAAACTTAAATCATTCACAATTTCTTGAATATTTGTGCACTTTACATTGGGAGGGGGGGGGGGGGTTAATTTGCTTTCGTTTTTGCAACTGAATTTAAAGCGAGCTTTTGAAAGATTTGAAGCAAAATAAAATAAAGATAAAAAATAAAGAACCAAAAAGAACGCACGACTTAAGTAACTATGTTCATTTCGATCAAAGATGCACTGTCTTTAACGAAATTTTAAAAAATGCTTACAGAGACTCGATCTTGCGCAGAGATGTCACTATAAAAACTATCCTCAATTAATTTCTTAGAGTGCGGTAGCGTGAGTTGGCAGTCAATTGAAACGAAGAGTTCGTATTTCACATGAAAATCAAAACAGAACGAGCTCCATAAGATCACTAAGATCCAGCGAGATCAACTCTCAGCGAAAACAGACAAAGATAGCCAGTTGCTGTGCAAGTTGCCTAGAATGTTCCGACCACGATCTCAGATTTTTTCTTCGAGTTAGTGTCGTTTCTTGTACGTCGTGTGTTAAAATTATACAAACGCGAAGAAATTGAGCGAATTAGGCAAAAAAGACTACAATTGTAAACCAAAAAAAAAAAATTGTTCAAAAATTTTTTGAACAAAATTTTATTTTTTCAATAAGTTCTTGTTGCCAGAGAAGCGCTAAATAATGCTTCCAAAACTTAATTTCCTTTTAGTGAAATCAAGTAATTTTCATATATAACGAACGTTACTCGATCGCTTTACTCGCTCGAAAAAACTGGCGAAAGAAAAACAAAAACTTCAAACCATTTTTTCTCGACACTGGGAGAATTTTTTGGAAATTTCGAAATACGACTTAAAACAAAAAATATATCTCAACCAAGTCCGATGCTTATTTGTGGTACCTGATTTTTCGTGGAAAACAAAAAAAATTAAAAGATACCCAACTTTAAAATTCCTGCTTATTTACAATGGTCGGAAGAATAAAACAGTTGTATGACGCAAATCCCAGATCAAAAAGAATATCCCGTTGCTGAGCAGGTAGCAACAAAAATTCGGACTACATTTAAAAAAAACTATGAAACATTTTCTATTGAAAATTTGTGCGTAGCATGATGAGAAGAACGAAACAGAAGACTATTACACAATTAAGAAATAATCGATTATAGTTATCGTTGAAAAATGAACAGACCGAACAGAAATCTCAAAAAACTGGAAAAAGAAGATAATTTTTGAAGATAAGTTTCTGAAATTTTATTGCGAAGGAAGCGCTATAGGAAGCTTTTAAAACTAGTTTTCTTGGAGTAAATAAAGCATCCTTAATAAATCATCGTTGAAATAAAAGGTTTTTCTCCTATTAAAAGACCTACTAACGCGTTTTACTCGCTCGAAACATCAAAAAAATCCTTGTTTTCTCAATTTTTACGGATTTTTTTTTTATTTTAATATCGTTCGAAAACCGACATAAAAAGCTTTTGTGAAACATATCACTCCACTCACTCTGATAGTTATTCGTGGTACCTAATTTTGACTACTAGTTCTAATGTGTTTATTGTCCGTTTTCCTATTGTGGCGGGGTTGGACATTCGAAAGTGCGTAAGCAATGGTTCAGACGAGGGCATTCGGTGTAGCTTTCAAGTTATTTAAAGGCGGTTAACACAATTTTCCAGGCCATTCGATCACGGCAGTCTGTAGATTTGAGGCCTTTAGCATTCAGGTCTCGTGTAACACAATCGATCCAGCGTTTTTTAGTCCTTCTTGCTGGTCTTTTCCCTGGGACTGAATTATGGTCCGTTGACTTAAGAGCATGGTCATATTCTCTTTGGTGAACATGGCTAAATCATCGTAGCCGCGAAGTACAAAAAGTAAAACAACTCAACAAAAGTAAGAACTAAAACACCCGAAGACATAGTTCCTCTCCACTTTGAGTGGTCGAAACAACAAGCAGGCATCATTCATCAACAGCGAGAACGATATAAGTGAGAAAAAAACATTTGAAAAAATCAAATAAAAATTACGACACGATGAGTTGAGATTTATACACTATAAATTGGACTAGAGCGATACGAGTCACTGCTAGAAACACAAATAGACAATACACTTTCAACCCACGCACGCAATTTGTCCTTTTCCACCCTAAATTTGGATACTATTATGGAAACCTATCCCAGTAAACAGACACACGATAGTACAAAAATTGAACTTTAACGAAAAAATTTCCAGTTGCAAACCATAACTTTTCTCGATTTAAGCATGGATATTACAGCATCTAATTAGTCATTCCCATAAATTTAGTGAAAAACTTGTAAAAAGTATTCAACGTTAAAAACTGCCTGGTACCCGGTTGAAAAACCTTAACTAATCTCAAGAATGAACAATTCAACAAAACTTCTCGCCGGAAACTACATATTGCAGCAAAGCTTTGGTTTTACTGTTCCACAATAAAAACATACCCAGTTGGATCAAATTCATCGCATTCAGCGTTTTTGTTGATGAAATTCCGATTACCCGCTATCGAATCGAAGCAATAACAATATTACATGAAGGCAAAATCACAAAACTCAAACTCTATGAGGTGACGTTCAGATTCGTGCTTTTCCCTCCATGTAATATCGTCATTGCTTCGATTCAACAGCGTGTAATCGGAACTTCATCAACAAAAACGTTGAAAAGGTTGAATTTGATACAGCTGCTGATAAGAAAACATTGATGCAAAAAGATATATTTGTAAGATATCATTAAGTTTATTCCATTCAAGAGTACCAATCAATTTACTACAGGAATTTATTTCGGAGCAAGATTTGGAATGTTAATCTTGGAATCTTGGAAGGTTAATACCAAATTATGAATGTTGCATTAATTAGGGTGGGCCTATATACTTTAACATAAGCAAAACCTTAGACATAGATTATATTTCCAAATTGAACTTCAAAAGCCTCCCTTAAATATGTTATTGGAAATAATGCACAAAATTATGTCTTACGTTCACTTACACTACGCTTAAATAAACCTACCTAGAATCTGAAATGTCTTTGAGATTTGTGAAAAATAAGATTTTTTGTCTAAAGACACCCATTGCCGCCTAAAATCTTTAGACATGCAAATCCTGGCATCATTGTGGCAACAGACATCATAAACGAAAGCAAGAAGAACGTCAAAACCATCGCCAAAAATATTCCAGCTGTCTTCGGGTAAAATCGTTTCTTCGACTTCAATTTCTCAATATCCCCTTTTTGCGACGGCAAGAGTAACAGCAAAGGAATCGAAAGAACCTGGACGACAAGCGTCACAACAAATGACCATGCCACCATTTCACGGTCAACAATCGAGTCGTTATTATACCTTTCATCAGTTGAAATGCGAAAGGGGGATGTCATAGCATTTGCAATTGGAGATCCGATTATCATCCCGACTATAAACGAGGTCACGAGTAGACTGTGGAACAAGGCTTCCAGTCCTTTCGGACAGATCTCAATCAGCATTAGACCACCGACAAGATGGCCCATACCTTCAGGTATCGCAGAAATGACATCGTCTGCAAAATAGAAATAAGGGTTCCGATAAATATCGAAAATGGTTATGAACTCAACGACATTTTCAGTCACCAAATGTAAGATCCGCGAGAACAAAAATATCTTTCGCCAAGATGCATTCAAGAAAAACTTCTTCAGAATCCAAACGCCAATGATCTCTAGCCCGGTTGCTATAAACTGACTTAAGGTTGTTATTAACGGGGTCACTTTAGCCCAGTTTTTCTTGACTTTTACCCCGGCAGGTGACGAAATCCGAATCGACATAGCCCAGAAAAATAGAACAATAAACACCTGCAAGACTTCGCGCGACTGAAATGCAGACCAAAACGCTTTGAATTGTTGCTTAACACTTAGAACTGCTCCAAGTTTTTGATCACGCACAAAGAAAATTCCATTTATAACCGCCACAAAACACATTGAAGACATGACTGCAGATAGAGTTTGGTAGGAGATACTGAAGCAAAATGAGCCCCCATATTCGACGCCATTCATCAGAAAACCGGTGAAGATAATGCTGCATATTGTAGATGCTTCCAGGAACATGTAAATGATGACGTTGATTGATCCACGTTGCTTATCGCCCTCTTTTTGAGAATACTCAATCTAAACAATAAAAAAAACTATTTAAAAATCATGTTACACTTGCTTGTTATTCGCCCTGAAGCTCTGGATTCTACGGTCCTCTTTTCGAGTGAGTTTCAAGGGCTGGGTAATAATGCCTCGTATAATAGTAATGGGTTTGATCTTTGCAAGTCTTGTTTTCTGAGGACACTGAGGACTGAATAAATTTTTAACCTCTTATGAAACCCAGTCCTTTGACCAAAAAAATCCAAAACAGCACATTTTTAACCTTGTTTTGTGGCATCAACCCGCTCTCAAGTGGCTTTTTGTCAAATTATAAAAAACAGAGCCAACAGACACTAAAAAAATGTCAATGAACGCAAGTAAACAAAAAAAAAACTGATTTCTTTTGTGAAAAATCTCAACTTTCGACACAGAGGCCGAGCTGAGCTTCGCATTACTTGCGATACAAAACAAGAAAGCCGCTAAGCAAAAAAAAATTGTCGAAACTTATCAGAATAAAAAGGCTAGTTTTGAAACAAAAACATGCAAAGACAACAGAATATGAAAATAGCATCGGTCAAAATACCATTTAGCAAAATACCATTTAGCATCAAGACTTGATTTTTTTAAAGATTGAGTCCCCGTCACTCTCACACACATAAAAAAAATTAATCGCTCGTCAAATGGAGCAATACGAGACGACTAAGCAGATCTAAGAGAGACCGAAACCTATCCAGCCAAAAAAAAGGAAAAAAAAAGCAGAAAAAAAATTATTTAAATAAGATATATCAAAGGTTATCAATTCCCCCTCACCCTCAAAACACACACACGCACACTTTTTTTCGCTCGTAGAACGTCGAAAATGAGGGACGCCACTAAGCCGATATACATTATGCCGAAACCTATCCAGTTAAAAAAAGGAAAAGAAAAAAAAGAAAAAACAAATGAATTTTAACAAACCGAGCTGGTAAAACTACAACCAAAACAAACAACAAATTTCGAAACGGTCAGGCATTGAAAATACTAACAAGCAAAAAAATATATGTACAGCGTTAAATTTTTGCTACCAGATTAATCGAGTTTGCGCCCAAAAATTATAAACGAAGCCGAAAAAACAATATTTTTAAATAACAATTTTTCATGTTTGTTTTGTAAACTTTATTAGGGAAGGCCTAGGAGGGCAATTTAGATTTTTCAAAATTTCTCGTTAGAGTTCAACCGTTTTTATTAAGCCTACCGACCTCGGTGCCAAAAACCTTCCGAAATTTTTTGGCACAGATAAAAATTATTTAACAACTCTTGATGTTCACCCACAGTACAATTATGCAGTTCATACACTCCAACCATGCTATTAATTCAGCTGTGTTTACCATTTACCATTTGTCCATTCTGTGAACGAAGTTTTTTACGGCAAAAAAGTCTAGTATCCGGTTGCAATACCCTTATCGCAAGAGTAAAGAAAAATAGATGGCCTTACAGCTCTTTGAATTTCTAGAAAGTGTAAATTTAATGTCTAGTATAAATTTAATTTAAGTCTAGTAATTAAATTCCATTTTCGAAATTAGTTTCATTTTCTAGAACAATTTAAGATTTACAATTTTTGATAAAACCCATACCCAATTCGAGGAAACTCGAATAATAGGTATAATTTTTATTTCGCTTGGAAGAAATTAAAGTCCACTTTCGAAATTAGAACTCGATCACGTTTTTTGACACCTTTACTTTCGCTGTTTGATAGCACAGTTTGCCTTCCTTTCAACAAAGGACACAAAAAGAACTTCAAAAGAAATCAAAAGTCAAACCGCGAAAAAGTAAATTGGAGACTGAACAAATTTTAAGACTTTTCCTAAAAAAACAGAAAAAAATCATCAAGATCTATATAAGAGTCTGTACTACGCTCATCGACTCTTAATAATTTCAAAAATATTCAGTGGCTACTAAATTATTCATCGATAAGACATACCTTCAAACCATCGGCGGCGACATCAGCGAAAGATAGCAACATAAATGCAATCGTATTTATCACGACATAATGGATTCCCTGCTGTTTTGCATCCGCGTTCAAAACCGAAGACCGGTCCAGATAACAAGTTCCGTTTCCATACACTGGCTCATAATAAGGCTCTGGCACTGGCTTGAAAGTGATCATGGCCAGAGGTACAAACGCGAAACCCATACCCAACATCATGTATGGCCTGCGACGCTGGCCCGAAATAGGCCATACATCGCTGACCACACCAACTATGGTCTTTAGTGACCATGCCGCCAACGGTAATGTACTAGCCGCCCGGTACTGGTTACTGTCCAAGTTGAGATAATTGGCGTAAAATGGGTAGATAATGGAAAAGAGTGTTTTGATCACGAACCCCTGGAAGAGGAAATGAAAATACAGACCGTACCCAAAAGAGTTCCACTTCACATCTTCGGGCGCTGGATCTACGAACTCTGCTGTAAGTGACCATAAAGTTCATCCCAGTTCAAACAATAAGTATGTATAATTCTTTCATTTACGTCTAGGACGCAAGTGAATAAGGTACGCATCCAATGATTCAACAAAAATTCATAACATACAGTGCTGATTTAAATTATACGGACAAAACGAAAACTTAAATTTTCAAACGTGTTTTTCCCAAACTTGGTTAATATAAGACAAAAGTTGCTTAAATTTTACCAGAATTAATATGGTGCAATTTTTCTCTGAAATTGTCAACCAAAATTTTACCAGTCTTTGATTTTTTAATAAATCAAGACTTAAGCTGAAAAAACCTTGTTAATTGATGAAAAATATACATCACAAGAAGCCTCTTACACAGCTTAACTAAGTTCTACAAAGGCTAAATCTCCAAAAATTTGAGTAAATTGTTTAAAATTTGTTTTTGAGCAAAGATTTTGGGTTTTATATAGTAAAAATCACGTTTCTTTACTGAAAAACAAAGGGCAAAAATATCTTCTCTTACGCAATTTTTTGGAGATTTAGCCCTTGTACAACTTTATTGGGCTGTGTAAGAGACTTCTTGTGATGTATACGTCTCATCTATTAACAAGTAGTTTCAGCGTAATTCGTGATTAATTTAAATAAAAACTAAAATGACTCATTTTTGGGGTAAAATTTTGGTTGAGAATTTCGAAGAAAAAATTACACTATATTAATTCTGATGAAATTCTCAGCAACTTTTGTACTCTTCACTTTTTGTCTAATTTTACCCCAATTTGAAAAAAATGCGTTTGAAATTTCAAAATTTGTTCGTTTTGTCCGGTTAACTTAAATCAGCACTGAATCATCGCATGATATGTTTTTTTTTTCAATTTTAAGATTAAATGCTATCAAACAGGGTTAAATGTATGTAAGCAAACAGGGTTGAATGAATGCATTTCGATTAAATTTTAGGGTCGATTCTTTTTGACCTATAAAATTGAGAAATTGGTATGAACTTATATTGTTTTTATTTCAAGAAAATCCATGAAGCTAGACTTAAGCTGAAAAAACTTTGTTAATTGATGAAAAATATACATCACAAGAAGCCTCTTACACAGCTTAACTAAGTTCTACAAAGGCTAAATCTCCAAAAATTTGAGTAAATTGTTTAAAATTTGTTTTTGAGCAAAGATTTTGGGTTTTATATAGTAAAAATCACGTTTCTTTACAGAAAAACAAAGGGCAAAAATATCTTCTCTTACGCAAATTTTTGGAGATTTAGCCCTTGTACAACTTTATTGGGCTGTGTAAGAGACTTCTTGTGATGTATACGTCTCATCTATTAACAAGTAGTTTCAGCGTAATTCGTGATTAATTTTTAAAAAAAAACTAAAATGACTCATTTTTGGGGTAAAATTTTGGTTGAGAATTTCGAAGAAAAAATTACACTATATTAATTCTGATGAAATTCTCAGCAACTTTTGTACTCTTCACTTTTTGTCTAATTTTACGCAAATTTTTGGAGATTTAGCCCTTGTACAACTTTATTGGGCTGTGTAAGAGACTTCTTGTGATGTATACGTCTCATCTATTAACAAGTAGTTTCAGCGTAATTCGTGATTAATTTTTAAAAAAAAACTAAAATGACTCATTTTTGGGGTAAAATTTTGGTTGAGAATTTCGAAGAAAAAATTACACTATATTAATTCTGATGAAATTCTCAGCAACTTTTGTACTCTTCACTTTTTGTCTAATTTTACCCCAATTTGAAAAAAATGCGTTTGAAATTTCAAAATTTGTTCGTTTTGTCCGGTTAACTTAAATCAGCACTGAATCATCGCAAGATATGTTTTTTTTTTCAATTTTAAGATTAAATGCTATCAAACAGGGTTAAATGTATGTAAGCAAACAGGGTTGAATGAATGCATTTCGATTAAATTTTAGGGTCGATTCTTTTTGACCTATAAAATTGAGAAATTGGTATGAACTTATATTGTTTTTATTTCAAGAAAATCCATGAAGCTAGAAAAGCATGAGTCAAAAGGCAAAAAACGCCACAAACCAAATAACCTAAATAATCATTAAAACTTAACAATGAACTTGAGCCTACCTGGGAAAAGCAGCGGATTATAAACTTTTTTCTTTTTCAAATAAAACAAAGATCCAGAAATTTCTTCTAATTTGACAGTTAACAAAAAATGTACAGTAGAAATTGCTCTACGAGCTAGAAGCCACATATCAAAGCTCATCTTTCCAAAACAAATTCTAAACTTTTCGACGACTATAACATATTGATTTGGTTAAAAAGTAAATGAATAATGCCCGAGACAAACCATGAGCCATACGGCCTTTTCTTTAACTGTTGTGGGCATTAAAAAACCAATCTAATTTGAAGTTATACCAACGGTAAATAATCTGTTCAGTGAATCAACAGAACTTGAACAGTTCCGTAAGTTGGATATTTTCAATTCGGCCTCAATAAATTTTGAGTGCAATACACTAATGTGCCGAATGTGAAATATTTGAAACAAGGGCAATATTTGAAACATTAGTACAATATTTTTAAACAATATTGAAAATTTTTTTGAATGGGTGAGTGTTTTGTTCGAACTTTTCACATGTGCAGCCCGAAATTTGTTCACATCTCGAAAATGCGAATCTCAATTTGTTAACAAAACTTTTCGACACAATATATAGCTGTTGTGTATCGAGTACAAAATATCCAGTTCTTGTGCAAGTGTAGAACTTTTCGACTACTGCCATAATTGGAAAAAAAAATTGGATGTTCAGCTTTCAAAAATTTTAGTCATTTCCTGAGAGTATGATGTAACTATGTGATTAAACAGTCAGCAAACAAAGCACGACAAGCTAGCCGACAGTGTTAAATTATCAAAAAACGAAAATTTGCGAAACAACAACTATGTAAACATTGCTTTGGCAGACGCCCATTAAGCGGAAAGAAAATTTTTTCATGAAGAAAAAAACATTGTGGAACTCGATGTATCGCGCTCAAAATACTCACAGGTCCAAGGGTAGTTAAATCACTTTTTCTTCAAATTAGTCTCGTTTGTTCTCGCAAATATAGTAACTTAACATTATAAACGGATGTCCATAAAGTGTCATGTTCTAAAAAATGAAAATCTGTTACACAAGCAAAGCAAGAGTTCATCCTAACATGGGAGAGCGAAAAGCATGCTCGGATTGGTTTTTGGTTACGGAGCTTCACAAGTCAGCCGGGGCTCCGTCTATTAATCCTAATACTTCGTGCCAGCATTAACTCCAGCTCCGGACAATACACTTGCTCCCGTGTAATCTAAAAATCCTCTGTTCACAAGTATGTGGTGGCAGATTTGTGGATCGACTCGTTTAAAATCTTGCACCTCCCAGTATCTAACAGAAAAAATTCTGCGACTGTCCCCAGACCAACCACCCCTTCTTCAACTACACTTAAATTAAACCCCACCCTCTATTAGCAAATTAAACCCCCCTCGATTGCGAACACTGATACAATTCAACGATCTGCGGCAAAAGCCCCCCCCCCCCCCAGCATAAATAATTTCTCTATCAACTAAGACCCTCAACATTCGCAGTTAAACTGCAATGGGATCTCTGAGAAAGCACTCTGAGAAGTCACCGTTTTTTGTCCCTGCTTTAAATTACAGAAAAAAAAGCTAGCTCCACCAAGAGATAATATTCGAAATTTAAATCCGTCCCATCCATTTTTAAATCATTAAAACAGAAATCATGTTCAAAACGGCCAGAGAAAAAGAAGAAGGCACCATTCTACTCTCTAAGAAATCAACTAGAATCATTCACAGAAAAAATTTACCCCTCTGTTCAATCAAACACCTTTCAAAAGGCCTCCTCTAATTCATCTAACTACTTAACCAAGTTAAATCAATTTCTTACCTCTAGATCGCGTGTTTTTTTCTACATCAAAAGGCGTAGCCAACCTTTTCTATTCGTTCAACAAGGAGTTCAACTCACACTCTTAAGTAAAAATAGATAAAGGATACTTTCCCTTGGGAAATGGATAAAGCACCACAAAAAACGGCATTTTCTTTGATTCATCCCCTATAATTGCAGAGCACTGTAATCGGACGTCAGCATAAGCCTCGCACAATATGGTGATTCTGAAGGCCATATCTGACTTAAATTGGAGTCAATCAAAAAAGACGTTACAGACCAATTTTAGATGGCACCATAGCGTGTTGTACAAAATGAGAGCTCCAGAACATTTACATTCTGAATGTTGAATTTTAAATTTAGCCCACCATCATCAACTACTCTCCGCTCAGTTTACCCTTTAAACTTATATCCTATCAAATCCCTACTTTTTCACCACCATCGCCCCCAGACATCCCTGAAGTATCTGCCCGTCATTACTTGAAATATAGAGTCCAGTAACAGAACAAATCCTCCGAGATAGAGCCAACACATCTTTAACTACTGTGACTAATTATAACGAGTAAAGATCTTTCGCCTTTCAAAATCAAAAATCGATTTAAAAAAAAACAGCACAATTGAAGTGTCGAGCTGGGAATTGCAGATGCTCCTCCCCCAAAAGTACTTCCACTCAATCTCCTTCCCCCAACTGTAGTTCCCAACACGCCACTTTGCACCTTTTTAACTGTTCTAGTAACACCACTTACTTAACTCTCAGAGACTTGTGGCTTCGGCCGATCTAAAATGCTAGGTTTCTGAAACTCGGTTTGAGCATGCCGGACGCGCCCCTTCGGGGCTAACAACAACAACAACAGATCTCATTACTTTATATTAAGCAACAATTGCTCATAACAGGGCAAAGCCTGGAATGTTCTGAACGCCCCTAATCTATCCTTCCGATTTTTTCTTCTAGCCAAAAAGAACTTAAAAAAGAGCTTTGATTTATTTACCACCCACGAATATTTTTCACTACTAAAAAAATAGGCATAGAAACTTTCATTCCCACATATTTCGTTCAAACGATTTACACAGAGGCGAAGTTGCATTTCGCATACACAAGCAAAAATATGACTGATAACGCTACTGGGAAAAACTGAGTGATTTAAACTTCTGAATGAGTCTACAAATTTTCTAAGGTGACGCACGCCAAGTATGAGCCTACATAACAGCTAAGTAAACTAAGCCAATTATGACGCATTAGCAGTACCAGTCAATTTGAAAAAAAAAATAAATTTTTTAACTAACCTGCCTCAATTTAGAGCGGACACATTTTATTACGTGGACGAAAAACTTCATTAAAAACATCAAACCCTGCCCAGGTTCGATCCCTCTTATTTTGTTGCGGGTCTCCTGCCGTACATCTACGCTACTGGTCCATGATACCTTGAAGCTAAAGTGCTATTTGTATTATAATAGTCTGTGTTAATATCCTTAGCATTGGCTGTAATTAATAGCTAGTTATTGATCAAAATGAACACTTTCAAAATGAACAATATTTGCGACTTGGAAAAAAAAGAGTTCATCCTATCACACAAGCTTTGCTCGTGTAAAAACACTGCAGTTTAAGGGATATTATGCGCGCATACGTAAGTCGAACAAACGAGGCATCTGGAAGCTTAGCATTCAATTACGAAACTTTGCGAAGAATGATCGGACGCGAAAAAAAACTTCCTAGTTTTGAAAAGCATTTGTACAAAAACATTGTAAAACAAAACTCCAGTTGAAAACTTTATTTACGATAACTGAAACTCGTCCGATTGTTAAAAAAACCTTAAGCATTTTCTCACTTTCTTCAAAGGAAGAACAACTGTGCACCGTTCAACACATCACTGTGATCGGGTCAAATGAAGTATCAGCTAAAGAAAATAACTGAAGGAAAAATATAAATAATTTTAGAAGCACTTGACCCTTTTACGCAGTCAGTCTTCTAAAAAAAATTGGTTTCAATTACGAGCAGGATTCTCTTTTTATTGTCAGTTTTTAAGTGACTTTTTTCCACATTTTAAATAATTTTAGGATGAACTTTCAACCGTTAAGTGGCAAATTGTCCTGGGATGAGAAACGCAACAGCTCTCCTTTTCCTGTCGACGCCACAGACGGTTTCTGAGTTCTCAGGAACTCCTTCTCCTCTTCCAGATGTGAATTGAACTCATCGAGTTGCATAGTTTTCTTTCCGTCCGAAGGGGCCATTTTAATGAAACTTGGTAAAGTTCGATAAGGAATTAAAAGTCAATAGCGAATTGCGGGGTCCTATAGAAATTCATGAAGTGCAAGTTCAGTAGTAATCAATCAGAAGACACGGTTTTGAAAATACGAAATGCGGACAAACCGTGTTTACTCTAGCAAGCAAATATTATATATTATCTCCTTATCTTTGTCTCTTTTCAAGACCACATTAAACTTGACTTGAAGTCTCAGAAACTTTTCAGATTATGATTTGTCAGAAGCGCTATAGCTAAGTGCTGGGTTAGTAGGTTAAATTAACACAAAATTCATGTTCTGCAAACTTAAATTATAAAGGGTTCTCAAAATCCAAAGTCATAAAATCAATAAACTTTGAACAAACGAACAGTGTGAAAACTAAACAGATATCAATTAGTATGGTGCAGCAATTTTGATGAAACAGCAACCAACTAAACAAACAATCAATATCAGTTTAAGGGAAAATTACTATCGCAATGGTCAAAGCAAACCTGATCGTTTGCATGAAAATATTTGGGGGAAAATAATGATCATCGTCCGCAAATGTACTCGACTGCTTTTGAAAAAGGACTGTAAATGCTGTTTTCTTGATTAGCAACAGTTGACTGCTGACTAATTGGTTTATTCAATTGTCGAAGACTCCTGCTAGGTGTATGCAAACTTCTTTCTTCATTGGACAACACAAAATCTTCAAATGAATCACTTTGCGGCATAGACACTCGCAAAGGACTGTTTAATGAAATTCTTTCTCTTTCACATATTTCGTTTTCTTTGTTTTTGATCATTTTTGCCGCGGCTTCATCTTCAGACAACAAAACACTTGAATCTGTACATGGTAAAACACCAATCATTGTATTTCGGCCAAAAAGCTTCCCATTTTTTCTAAGAGCTTTTGCAACTTCCAATTTTGTCGCAAATTTCACATGAAACCAGTTAGTTTCATTGCATAGCCGATATTCTTCAACAGTGGATGTAGCAGCAAAGTCTTGCAAAATCTGCTTTGCCGAAACAGGATTAAATCCGAAAATTGTTACCCAATAATCGAGGGGGTTCTCAACAGACATCTGAAAACAATCAGCATATTAAATTGACCTTTTAAATTCAACGAAAAAAAATTTTTACCTTGATTGCAATATCCGGAAGAGTGCTCGCACAATCTTAGTACTTTAAATTTTTTTCGTCTTTCAAAGTAAATCAGAGATCAAAAATTATCATGGCAACCAAAATTTTGTGCCAGTCGGTCATATTTGGAAGTTTGACCTTGAGGAATACGGACAACGTAATTTTGGGGTGAAATGTAAATTTTCATAAATTCAAATTGAGCCTGTCATGCTCAACTTTCTCGCGGAAACTGAAAATCTCAGAAATACAAGATCAGAACGACCGAATTACAAACGCGGGAAAGTGGTCAAATTTAGCAGCGGGAAATTGCTATTCGCAATTTCCGATACTTAATTAGAACGAGAGTAGAGCTGTCCTATCTTGATATAGGAAACAGAGCGATTGCAAAAGAAGAGCGAATCAATTAATACTGGACCAGAGTGAACCTTCGGTGGAAAGGTAGACAACTGAAGTCTCCCAATGGTTCAGACCCAAAACTCAATTTTCAAGCTATAACTTGATCGATTAGAACTCATTGAGTCAAACTTAAGTCCCCATTTATTCTCAAGTTGCTTATTAATTTAGTTACCTCAGTATGCTGATATGTGAGTACTCAATTTAGTTTTCTTGATATGTTTTATGATTGTTATGTTGAGGTAAGGAGAATTTTAGGTTGATCCATCTAAAATGGATCAGGGTTCCACTGTCTAATAAAAAGTAAGCATACGGACTGTTCCGACCCTGTTTTTAACGGCGTTCGCGTATTTTGGGTATTTTGCGACCTAAGTATGGGGACGTTCTTATTTCCTAGAGTGGGGGTATTTTGGTAGTGGCCTTTAAGCTGTAACGGGTTTTTAGTCTCATGTCGCAAAGAAACCGAATTGGCTCCGACCGTTCGAGGTGGAAAAACACAAGAGATAGTGTCTCTGACTCTTGAGCCAATGGTTATAGGGCCTATTTTTCTTTAACCTCATATGTGACATAAGTAGGCGACTGTTACATAGTGTTTTAAGGCGCTCCTGGGTGTTTTTACGAAATCATGACTACGGAGTCGAACCCACTAGACACAGCTCCGGTCTACATGCCCATTCTAGAGTACCGGTGGTACGGTTCAGCGGGAACGTGTAAGCCTTTCGGTTGTACCGTGATAGCTTTTTAAGAAAACTCGAGAAATTTTTCTGGTACGCTGTCCGAACGAGGCTTAGCTAACCGAGTAAGGGGGGTAACTAAGGGGACGAAAAAACGAGCAAAAGACAAAAAGCGAAACAAAAACCGAAAAATAATAGAAAAAGGAACAGAAACCATAAAATAAAAAAAAATAACACTGATTTTGACACCAGATTAGTTGGATCAAACCTTTAAATTAATTAAATAATACACCCATACTGTTTTTATAAGACCGATCGTTTCGATCAATTCAGAAATTTAAAAAGAAGCCCGAGTGTGGGGCGTTATTAAGGGTTTTCAGATAGCTTGCAACTTAGCTGGACCACTAGGAGACTTAACTGGAAGAGGTGACCAGTCGAGTGGGAAAGTGGTTCACAGGGACTTAGCTGGACCACTAGGGGACTTAACTAGAAGAGGTGACCTGTCGACTAGGAAAGTGGTTGACAGGGACCTAGCTGGACCATTAGGAGACTAGAATGGAACAGGTGACCAGCCAAGTGGGAAAGTGGTGCTGGTGATCAGGTGCAGGACACATCAAGGAGACAACCAGCACGGAATCAGAACAACAAGAGAGGATGGGGGTGTTCTCAAGTTGGTCAAACGGTTATCGTTAAAATCCACATTAAATTATAGGAGATAAGTGTAAAATTGGATAAGCGGAACCCCACTGTTTTGAGGAACGTTTTTACTCAAGCAGAGCCTGGAAACAGGCTCTACGGTTTTCTCTCAAGAGGTTTAGCACCCGGCGCTTAGGGTAATTTTCGGCTTAAGAGGGGGGCTAAAGAGGGGGGAGGTTAGAAGGGGGGCTGGTTAGGTTAGAGGTTGGCGGTTGTAAATTGTAAAAAAGGGGGACACATTAGAGTAAGTAATTGATCGACATCGTCAATTTAGTTACATTAGAATCTTACACGCGTTGATTATAAGAAGCGGATATCCAAATTTAAGATCGAATTAAGGTAGGTACCCTGGTCGGATCGGTTGGGGGGAACGGACGTAGACAGTTTTTGTGATACCCCATAAGATTGCTAGCAGAGGGGTAGAAAAACGCGTGGCAATCAAGTACCAGATGTTCTTTCTAATAAAAGGTTGACACAAGTCACATTTGAATTTTAGGTGGGTTTATCTCTCTGTTTTTATGATTATTTCCCTGTTTAAATTTTCACGTTTTTGGTAAAAAAATTTTAATCGGTTTGAACCACTTGCATCAAAAAAATAAAAGGGAGATAAATACAAGGGGGTTAGTAATTCAAACTTTTGGCCAGTAAGGTTGGGTTTTGTGGCAAATTTTTTTTACTAGAGCTCAAGTGGTGCTACCAGGTACAGTGGTTAAAGAGTCCCGACAACGAAAGAGAAAGGTTTCCAGTATCCCAACACTTGGTAGAGAAGTCCTGGGACAGTACCGAAGAGTCTTGGGACAGTACAGTCTTGGGACAGTACAGTCTTGGGACAGTGGTCTTGGGACAGTACCAGGCAGTATTGGGACAGTGGTCTTGGTACAGTGCAGTCTTGGGACAGTACAGTCTTGGGACAGTAGTCTTGGGACAGTGCAGTCTTGGGACAGTGGTTTTGGGACAGCAGTCTTGGGACAGCAGTCTTGGGACAGTGCAGTCTTGGGACGGTGTAGTCTTGGGACAGTGGTCTTGGGACAGTACAGTCTTGGGACAGTAGTCTTGGGACAGTGCAGTCTTGGGACGGTGGTTTTGGGACAGTAAAGTCATGGGACAGTAGTCTTGGGACAGTACAGTCTTGGGACAGTGGTCTTGGGACAGTGCAGTCTTGGGACGGTAGAGTCTTGGTACAGTAGTCTATGGACAGTGCAGTCTTGGGACGGTGGTCTTGGGACGGTGCAGTCTTGGGACAGTAGTCTTGGGACAGTACAATCTTGGGACATTAGTCATGGGACAGTAGCTAAGAGTCTTGGGATAGCACGAAAAAGTCTTAGGACAGTTCAGAGAAGTCTTAGGACAACACGAGAGAGTCTTGAGACAGTACAAAGAAGTCTTCTGACAGTACCGGGAAGTCTTGGGACGGTACAAAAAAGTTGTGTGACGGTACTAAAAGGTCTTGGGACAGTGTGAAATAGCTCAACGCTCAATTAAAAGCAAAAGGACCGGTCCGAACGATTAAATCGCGAAAGATCCGTTCTATTAAGATCACGAATTGAAAGTTTTTTTAAATTCTGTTAGGGAAGTAGGAAAGTTTTTTTTATTTTTAAAATCTTGATCCATACAATAGAATTTTGTAAATAATAATTTTGTAAATAGAGGCAATTGTAAATAAAAATCATGAGGCGGAGTAGGGTACCGATAGCAGAAAGAAGAGTTATAGAGTCAAAGACAAATCATAACTCGTCGCAACGAAAGGTAACCCCGTTTGACCCGGAGTAACAAGAAAGAACTTTTCAGTGGTCAACACACGAAGCGCCAAAGAGAACAAGACGAAAGTGAGCACTGAGGAGGGATGAACGGAACCTACTATAGAAATTGGTCTTGAGACACCAGATCAGAGTGTTGATGAGGTGGAGAAGAAGACAACGGAATCGACACCGATGCCGAATGCAGAAGAACAAAAGCAAAAGGCGATAGAATTCTCGCCGATAGACACTGTGGAGGACACGACGGGCAACACGCCAGAAACCATAAAGGACAAGTCTCAAACGAAAAGAACGTCATCCACAGAGAGGTTCGCAATGATGGTTGGAATGAAATCAAGAGACATAGTGGAGGATGAACGAAAGGCCGAGAAAGGCAAAATGTTTGGAACAGTTTCCACGATAACAATAGAGGCCAACCAAGGCAATGATCAGGTCAAACATGGGGCAACAGCTAGTCATGGGGCATTAGCTGACTATGAAACAACAACTCCTCTAGAGCTAGGCGATTTAATGGCGAAGTTAAATCAGATCGACAAAAAACTAAAGTGCAGCGAGGAGGATCGAGAAGTGATAAGGAATGAAATAAGATACAACAAAAACGAGTACTTGGACAACTATTTTAACCTGGCAAGGGCGATGGAGGAAAAGCTTCAGCAGATGTCAGAAAAGGTGGAGGCCACTGACAAAGACCGAGAGAAGAACATCAGAAAAGAAATGCAAGAAAGGAAGCAACGGCATGACACCGTGAACAGTAAGCTAGGGAATCTGGAGACGAGGATGGCTACGATGAGCAGAGACCAGGCGGAGAGTTCGTGTGCCATACAGTCCAAACTAGATGCCATCTTGAGAAACTCTATAACACAAGACAATCTGGTAACAAATCGAATA